GTATTTTCAGTGGTAAAAGTTGCCTCTGTACTAGTTTGGGGTACAATCCTTCTCTCTAAGTAGCAGCATTGCAAGTTAACTAACTTAATAAAAGCAGCCAAATAGAAGAGACTTCTAGGAGTTCCGATTGTCTGTGTCTCATGCTTCTTGGCACAGCCCTTTGTGTGGTAGAAACCGTAACGCTCAGCTTTCCTCACCCCATTCCTGTTGTCTCAATTGCTTCAAGATTTCTCCAAAGGAAAAATAACTTTATCTTCAACACACTTAAAACAGAAATTGGTTATAAATATTTTTTCACAGTTTCCCCCACCCTCCAACTTTTCCCCTTTAGTTCAGAACATTGTAGACAGCCATTAATATCCTGGTTGTGCCGATTCATTTTTACCATGTACAGTAACTAGCAAACTGCTCTGGGGCAGTTCATGTGAAAGAAGAATACATTCACATTGCTAAAGCCTGAGAATGTGAATCTCAACAAATAACAAGAATATTTCATATACCATTCAAATGTGTATATATACAATCACCTGCCTAGTTCTTCCCTATTGTGTTTGCGCATTCAGTCCTCTCTTCCCTCATCCCCAAGGTTTGATAACCATTTCCTTCTCAAACTAGACAAAACTTGTATGCTTTTTTTTAAAGTGGTATTCCATGAACCCAGCTCAGCCTCCAAACAGGCCCTCGTGGCTTACTGTTTTCTGAATACAGAAACCCCGTATACTCCTCCCCCTATCCATTCCTTTACCTCTGTCTTACCTCTGAACGGGGACTGTATTCCTCTGAATAAGTTCAAGAAGAACACTCCTGGGGGAGTTACTTCAAAGTAAGATCAACAAGCAAATCCACTCCCATCAGGACTTGCAAATAAGAAGGTAGTGGCATATTCTGTCACTAAAGGTCATTGGGCATAAGAGATAATCCAACTCCACATGTATCCTCTCTCCAAGGAAGTTGTTTCAAGAACTGTTTCCAAAGTCTATTTGTTAATAGCCATAAAAGGCACTAACCCCAGGGGTGCTCAGCCCCTGGCCTGCAGGCCAGGTCCAGGCTACTGAGCTGTGTGTTCTGGCCCACCGGGTTCCCTATGGGTCTGAAAATTTGATGCCAGGGGAGCAGTGGCCATATTAATTCGTGCTTCTCTGCTGCCAAATTTTGACCTGAGGGGATCCCAGTAGGCTGGATAGTGTGGTCCTGCATGCTAGATCAGGCCCATGGGTCCAGGCCAAGGCAGTGCATGAGGGACCAGGTCACGGAGTTGCTGGATCCAATCAGGTGTCTTGGGACCTAACCACACATGCCAACCCCACAAGGAATCCAGGGGGACCAGCCCAGCACCACTCATCTGACTCGGGGCTGAAAGGTTGAGCACCACTGCATTAACCACATAACTCTTAAAGGGAAGTTTGTAGTAGTCCCACTTATATGCCACAAGAACCACATATTCTATCTTTGTGCACTCCAGTATTTGAACATAAACGTTCATGCTGTGATTTCGCTGTACAAGCAAGGTTACATCTGGGCTTGCTTGCATTCATGTATCCCTCCCCGCCTTCAATCTTGTATTTCTGTTTTTTGCAGCTTGGTGTTTACAGAAAAGGGACCATCTGCTACCCAAAAGATATTCTTCAGAGTACTATAGTATACAGGATCTCCCTTTAAAGTAACATGAAGTATGGGACCTAAACAGACTGATAATGTCTCTTTACAGCACAATTTTGAAATGCAATACCTTCCAGAGTACTGGAATGGTATGCAGTTATGTTAAACTAAACTTAATTGTTCCATCAGTTTATCTGGCTTTTTACATTTTTATAGTCTTCTAGAATTGAGTAAAGTGGATCTAGTAATGAGGCTTCGCAACTAATTCCTTTTAAAAAAATGCCTTTGTAGATTATAACAGTACTTTCAGAACAGACTTTTTTGTTTGAATAACTTTTTGTTTGAATTCATGCTTTTAACTTCTATTTTTGCAAGTAGAAAATATCTTCATCAGAGTCTGAAGTTGTTTTATATAAAATAGCTTCTAGAAGGAGGATGCTAACTAAAATACATTTGGAATCTGGTTTTATGTCCGGGGAACAACACACACAGATGCAGAAGAATTCTGAAATCTTAAAAAGAGTACTTTTAAAAGAAGGAGGGGTTTTTTTGGAAGGGGACATTAAAGGAAAGTTGCATTTAAGAAAATAAATAATTTGCTTGTGTTCTGATATTACAGGTATTTTAATAGTTTTTGTAACATTCATGATGTGTAATGTACTACATACTGTCCAGTCAAATAGTAAGTTATAGTCCTTGCCTGAAAGAGTTGCAATATGTCAAGGACAGCAACAGAGTTAGCGGAGAGAGAGAAAATGTACAACCAGTTTGTTTTTTTTTTTTAATATTTGTGAAATATTCCCTCTACCCTTCTGCCTGACTGTGAATGGTATGTGAATTGAATATAGTAACTGTAGTAAAAAGTGGGGCTTTAAGGATTAATTTTGAAATATGTCATTTGTAAGGGGGAACAGAGAAGTCAATTAGCTGTTGAGGGAGCAGCAAAGTAGGTGGCCAAGACTCCCATTCTTGGCAGAGAGAAAAGGAGTTTTGCAGAAATTAGTTTGGGGAATTTGTTAAAAATATTTTGAGCAAAGTTAAACTACAGATTACCCTAGAAACCTGTGGGTGTTCCTATTATGCCCTGAGCTTCTTTGGAAAGGCCAGGATATAAATATAAAGTAAGTAAATAAAATAATACTCTTCTCAAACCACAGTTCCTTCTATGGTATAAGGAAACCCCTTTAAGTTTTCTCTAAATGTGTAGGCTTTTCCAAGTAGGGAATATGTTTCAGAACTTTGGGATCCCAATTTCAGGATCTAGCAACATACACTTGAGTATGGAGGCCAGGCAGTTTTAATGTGTTACAGTGAAAAGGAGGGAGTCATTGGACAACCTCAGAAAACATGATGGCTGTCAGAGTGGCAGACACAGAATATGATGATAGCATCTACTCTTCTTTCTTTGGCTTGGAGCAGAAGTTGTGGTGTTCCGAAGGTCAAAGAAAATGTGAGCTGATGAGGATGTAAACAAGAATTTCTGTATGTGAAGAGATCAAAGGTTTGGCTGTTGGAAGAATTATGGAACAAAAATATAAATGAGTCCTCCATTCATGTTACCTGAGTTAATGATTTGATATGGGGAAAGAAGGGGCAAGGACAGTGCTTGAAAGGCCCCAGAAAGATAGTGGGAATGGGAAGACGCAACAAAAGAGTAAACCAATTGGGAGAGGACGACGTTATGATAGCTAGAGAGAACAAAACTAAACAGGAGCACAAAAAACAATGGTGAATTATAAGAGTTTATTTTCCCAAAACATAATTCAAATGCAGTTGTGGGGAGAATATTAATTTATTATACAGAATACATTGTACTTAATATTATGGTCATATTATTTTTCTTAAAGCAGAAAAGCTTCATGTTATCTAGAAAATACATGTGAATTCTTAATAATGTCATGGGAATGGGCTTTTTGGTGGAAAACTTGATTGTATACTTAAGAATATGGTACATGTTAAACTTATGACAAGATTAGTTAAAAAGTGATGACAGTGATTAAATAGTACAATTGCATCAGGTTCGTCTTGAGAGGAACATCCAGTATAACTCATTAACTCTGGGATGACTCTTCAGTTGTTAGTCCTGAAACTGGATGTGATGGAGGGTGGGATTGGACACTTAGGTAACAGTGATTGATGACTCATTTTAGTATCTTGGACAGGTATTTCACTAAATAGAGCAGATTTATCTATGTAATGCATTTATTTTTCTTACTGTATAAGACACTGTCAGAGTATCACCATAGCTTTGCTACATGATGAATTGTTTTTGCTGTACAACTTGAAGTGATTCTTAAGCCATTCATATTTCAGTAATTATAAAACAAATTCCTCAGACTTAATGCATTTTGGAACAGCACATATTCCATAAGATATGATTGATTCCATTTTCCACTATAAAACTTAGAAAATATAAAGATTGTTAGTACATATTTATAAAAAGAGAAACTACAGAAGAATTGAATAGGTGGTGTGTATTTTCAATGTAGAATTGTTAAGTGTTCTAGCATATAGCTTATTTTTCAAAACCTGCATTATCTTCATCTATACTGGCATTCATGGTGTGACTGCAAGTTGAAATGTCAATGCTGTACATAACACATTTTATGTATAATTTTAAAGTTGTCTCTAATTGACAGGTATAGCAGATCAGTGGAGGAGTAAGCAATTTTATAGGTTGTGTGTCAGTATTAGTGTGAAAAGCCCAAAGGGCTTAAAAAAGACTCTTAAAAAAGAATACTTTGCCAAACTGGGCTGTTTCTAGTGAGGAAGGGCAATCTTTCTGGTACCAAAAAGGAAACATCTGAGAAGTTAGACAGTGGAGTTGAATAGAATGGTTTGGATAGTGATGATCCTGCTTCAGGTTGGTGGGTTATACTATGTAACCTATGGAGGTCCCTTCTAGCCCTGCTTCTCTATGATTCTCTGGTCACTTCAGAAAGATTTAGGGTAGGATGTTATTCTCCATAGAACTGGAGAAGAAGCAGCAGGTGAGGATAGGGTTCAGCTGGAACTGCAATTTGTGGGGGCTAGAAGGGGAGAAAAAAAGTGTAGAGCATTTTGAGTGCTGTATATAGACTTCTGTCTATATTACAGGGCTCATGTAGTATGGGCTTGTGACAGCTTCAACCCATGTTGCAGCTTGCAAGCAAAAATTAATTTTCAGTTTGCAAAGTAAGTAGCTCTGGTGAAGTCAACTAGTGGGGATGATTTGGGCCTTAATTGTTGTTCAACTTGCTGTTGGTTTTTGTTCTAGTATGGTAAGTAAATTAATAAATAAAGGACATCACCATAGTTTTGCTGTAATGTGGTGCTCTATACTAATTGTCAAATTTTCTCACTTATAGCACATACCTTTCCCCCTAAAAATCAGTTCCCTAAAATTGGGGCATATGTTTTAGGTGGAGACGCTGTTTGCTGGAAAAGAAGCAAGCCTGGAGATACTTTGCTATACATGCCGTGCACCTGCCAAGATGCTGAAGTCTCGTGTTACCTTCTCACAGCCATGGCTATTGGCTCAGCACTAACTTGTGCCCCCCACTACCTTCCAAAAACAAGGTGGATGGTTTCTCTTTTGGGGGAGGGGGGAGCACATTACATGCAAGAAAATTTGGGAATACTTTTATTATAAAAATGGGAAAACTAGTTAGAAAAAAGATTACATCCCTTAGAACTAAAGCTGTAGTCCAGCAATCTGAGCTCTGTGGGTAGATTTCTTTGCCTGTGTGGAACAATATCGATTTTAATGGGCCTCTTAGCAGGTATATAGTTCAGTTTTCTTAGATGAAATTGCAGCATCAGGGACTTGTGACGTTAATAAAATAACTGTTAGGGGTAGAGACACTTGCTGTAAGTGCATAGATAATTCCTTTTAAATAGATTTTTAAAAACTTTCAGTTTTTCTCATTTAGACAGCTGCTTTTTAAAATGAAGAGTTGTAATTAAGATGATGTCACTTTGTCCGTGTACATTTTGTTATCTTGCAGGGTAAAATTCTCCTTAGTGTAGAGAATAGACTTAAGTCCCATAGTAAAGGCCAAAGATGTATAAGGAGTTGGGACTTGTAAGTTTTCCACACCAACTCAAAATCTATTGGCACATGATGCTCTGTAGAGAAAGGGACAGTAATGTATGTGTAAGTTAAGGTTAAACATCTAGGCTAGGTACATCCAGGAAGAGCACACACCAACTGCTGCAGCTTCCTGAGCCTGACGAAGGGTTTTTGAACCCGAAAGCTTGCTTAATAACTATTCTCCAACCATTTGGGTTGGTCTAATAAAAGATATCAAATTCACCCAAGGAACCTTGTCTGCCTAGGCTAGGTACAGACATTACACACAAACTGGTATAAGTGATTAGAAACTGGTCTTAACCTGTAACAGAACAGAAGTTCAGCACATACAAACCAATTTAAAAATGGTGGAACCTGGTCTAAGATAGACCTAGATGGATGTGCTATCAGACTTAATCAGTTTAGGTTAGACTTGTCTATCGAACTTTTGTACCAGATCCCTTCTGTAGCAGATCCCCTCCTGACTCAACCTAGCTCGCAGTCCACCAGCATCCCAGGCGCCTTTGCGATTTCCCAGCAGTTCCCAGCCCTCTCTCCTTCCCCCCACCCCCGCTTTCTGGCCTCAGCTGCTGCAGGCATGTGTGTACTTTGCCCGCCTCTGCACCCCAACCACCAGAGGGTGAACATGTGTTCTGCGTAGATTGGATCAGGAGTGAACAGTTTAGATGAATTGATTTTGCTTGGGCTTTTTGAGTGTCTATACCTAGCCTAGAATCTTGTAACATTTTTCAGAATCCAGATTTATTCTGTCTTTTTTGAAATGCATAATAGATTGATTTTATTTGGATTAAAATATTCCTCTATAGTATTTGCACTTTAGATGGGTGGCCTGCTTATGCTTGGGCACAGTGATAACAGAGTAAAGACTAGTAGTTCACTTTTTGCACTGTACCGTACAAATAAAGTTTTTTGAAGAAACACAGCTTATGAGACCTTTGACATGCTAGGGAGGTGAGAGATGTCTCCATACTTGTACAAAACCATGTCACCTACAGTTGAAAAGCCTAGGTTTGTTTCCCTTGCTTCGAAAGAAACCTTTCCCTCTAGTCATACCATTGAAATCAGTTTGAGTATGAAAAGCAGGTTCTACTCATAAAAAATATAAAGCATTTGTGTGTAGTATATTGAATTCTGTACTTAACTGCAGCACTGTTGATCTTCCTATTTGGCAAATAACACTAAATAACACTAAAAGAACTGCCCATCTTTTGGTTTTGTTACATTTTCTTTCTTTTGGGCTTCACTTTTAATAGATTGTGGCCCTAGATCTCTGGGCACAACACCTGGGAGAGAAAATAATCTCCTTCCTTTTCCATCTCCAAAATATGTCTGCAGAACTGCTGTGAAAATAGAAGGTGCTTGGCATATAATCATGACATTGTTCCCAGTATTACTCCTCTTTATAGACTGTAGCTAGTAGTGATATGAAAAAACTGTGTGCTGGAATGGAGAAAGAACAGAGAGAATGCTTTTTCTTCTCAGTCTGGTCCCAGAGGCTCCTAGATTATGAAGAACTGATGGTGTGAATCTTCATCAATTTCTTTTCCTGTTTGGGAAATGAGAAACAAAAAGAGTAGTGTCTGATTCCATTGCAACTTGTAATTTTCACAATCAAAATGCAGACTAATGTGTCAGTTTTGCTGCTGCCAAGTGTTCCCATTGTTAGCAGTGAACACTGATCAGACTTTTGATCAATTATAACTCATTTCAGATTTTAAAACTATAAACAGCACTGGAATCTTCTGCCTGGAAACTGAGGAAGAAAAAACTGCATCACATGTCTAGGGCGAGATCCACAAAAGGACTTGGGCGCCCAACTCCAGGATGGCAGCTCATAACTGAAGTTAGGCATCTAAGTGCGGTACATAGTGAATGGGGACAGTAAAGCACTGGTAAGCTAACCAGTAAGAAACACTGGAGAGCGTGGTTTGTCTAAAATCCTGCTTCTAACCTGCACGTGCACACACAACAGGAGGTCTGAGAGACCAGTCCAGGAAGGGGTTTCAATTTTAATACAGATTGTTAAGGAAACTTTCTTCAATGAACACTGACCACTTAAGATAACAAGACTAAATTCAAAATAGTAAAATTAAGTCCCATAGGCTCTGACAGTGATATTCTCTTTTCTTATTCAAATAGATGTTTTTGTTTCTGGAGCATTTACTGACTTTGATTTTATAGAAAATAATTGATGGTTTGGATTTGCCCAGAAGGAGGCAGCATTGTTTCAGAGATGTTTTAGACTGACAGTTTATTAAATGTACCATGTTTTCCTTTCTGCTAGGATTTTTTTAAAGAATCATCTCTGTAAAATAATTGGATGTATTTCTCCAAAAATAAACCCTGTGCTACAAACTGCCAACTTCTAGGACAATGATTTTGGAGTGACAGTATAGCTATTCTATATGAGTGGTGTATTATGCAATGAAGCAATTAACGCTGAAGAACTAGTTACAGATTTCAAAAAGCATAAATATTTTAGAAGAATTTTTTTGGATGCCTACCATGACATTTTTGTCCTGTTACCATAAATCAATTGACATGGGGCATAATAGATTAAGTAATTTGCAAACTCTAAGTAGCTGCAGACAGTCAAAATGACAAACTGTGTCTAACACATGGTCTGTTACTAGAGCCTGATCAAGACCGTGAGCAGGTACAGAATACTGTGTTTCTAGCATCAAGATTAAGTTAAGCTGATGATCTTGGTGAATTCAGCCTGACTTTCTGTGGTGTGCATTCATTAGCTTTAACTACTTTCGTTCTGTTTCGGCCTCAGGGCCAGTTTTGGCTTTTTTCAGCCTTTCTTGTTCATGTACATTCTAAATCATTTTTTTGCTATGTTATATCTTTTTGTCTTAATTTCCTTGAATTGGTAGATGTCTGTCTTCATATACGGTGAAATTTATAAAGGTCAGCTGTAGTTGTCCAGCCTAACAGCTGGGAAAAATCTGTCTTCTGGGAGTTCTTTTATGTCAATCATTCTGCTTTACAGAGCCATCAATTAATACAAGCTAAGTAGGAGTAGCTTTTTATTGTTTGTTACTAACTTACTTCATTGTAAAAATAACTTTAAAAATTGTTAATATAATTAGGGAGAAAAAGTATGCATCTGAATAAGCCCCACTGAAATCTCCTGCACAGAACAGTATATGTCTCTATCAAGGTGATTTTTTTTTTTCTTTATGCTGTACCTCCTCTTATTGCAATGTGGGGAAAAGGCAGGAGAAGAACAACGGTATAAGAATAGACTTGTGTCATTTTCCTGTACTCCTGTCTCGCTATTGCTGCTGCTTCAGAACTTGAGCCCTACTGAACTGTTAGAATCATGTAAACATATCCGGTTGCCACATTTTAGTTAAATCCTGTTCTATTCATGGCAGAACCAATTTTAAGATTCTGGCTCTTTCAAAGTGGGACAAGTCAAAGCTAGGGCTGCTAGTCTGTTGAACTCAGTCATTGTTCCTGTAAAATGCAGTTCTTTTCTGAGAACCTCCATCGTCACAATGGCTGAATTAAGTATAATACTACATCTTTCACCTGAGCTTGTCACTATATGGAAACTGGCAACGTAGATGTATGTGAGAGGCAAGAATTCTTGTGGGTGATGTCTTTTGTTGGGCCAGTCGCACGGTTGGGATATATATATAACAACATAGGTGTATGCACTTGGAACACAATGTATAGGTAAAAAAATAGAAGTATGACTCTTGCAAACTGGTATGGAGATTTAAGTTGTTCATTTCCTTATTTAATTACTTACTTGTATTTTAGCAGTTTTCTGTGTGCAGCTTTCCAATTTCCTTTAAATGTGACTCCATTTTTTTTTTTTTTTTAACTGGTAGTTGAAGAGGACATAGAATTTTAGTTTTATCATTGCTTGATAAAAGGATGTCAGTCTCTACAAATTTCACTGTTATTTTGCTTACTCAAAGCTTATGTATTATATTCATTTGAGAGTTGTTTATGTTGGGAATGCTAATCTTAATGTTTTGGGCCCAAAAGCCAGACAAATGTATGGTAAGATTTCTGTCTTACGAATGCTTAACTTGCTAAGTCCTATTAGAATTGACTAGTGTTCATGTCACTTTTGTGCTACATGCATGAGTTGTAATAACAATAAGAAAAGTAGTCACTATTGGGAGTTGTGGTTCCTTCAAATTTCATTTCTTTTTAGGAAGTAGAGAGAGAGGTGATGATAACTTAATTGCCTGCAAAATTGCAGGATTTGTTTACAATGTGATGCCTTAAAATTAATCACTTCCTGGGAAATGTGGAATTTTCTTTCTACAGCTGTTTTTTTCCACTAAGTGAACATCCTGTCTGTAATAAAGGACAGTCTGGTCTCAAAAGTGAATGTTTTGCGTTGTCAAAAGTTACTTGGAAGTGCCTTTAATGCAGATAAGAAAAGACAACTATTCTTTGCATCTCTAGTATACCTACTGTGTAGTATTTGGTTTTCTCCAGAATGCCAGTGAGCAGTTTGGTCTTCTCTTGCAAGTTTATCATGCATTTTTCATCTAGCATGCCAAACCATAAGTTTTATACATTATGGTGCTATGAACTTTATAAAGTACTTCCACTATTTGAGTCACAGCAGTAAAAAAAGTTCTAGACTCCACAGTTGCCTTATTTAGAGGAAGCTGCTGACTGAGATAAGTGCTTCTAATCCAGAAGAGGAAGATGACTGTTTTTGACTCATTTGATTCCATAGTAGTTAGAGAAAAATTTGCAGGGGAAGGGAAACATAGAAATAACTGTCCAGTTGCATTATCAAATTGTGACTATCATCTGAGAGTTGAATTTGTACACTAGTTGAAGCATTTTTTTGGCATTTTTTTTTTTAGAAATGGCTGCTCAGCAAACTGGAAAAAAAAGAAAATGGAGGTGGGGGAAGTTAATTACAAGAAAAACAGAGGACAGAAAAGGGAAGGGCATAAAGCTGAACAAAAGTGAGTTGAGAAAAGTGGAGAGAGAAAATTAAATGAAAGGAGTCCAGGAAAGCTGGCAAACTGAAAGGGTTACAATGGTTCATAGGCAGTTTGTTCAGTAGAAAAGATAAGGCAGTGGGGGTGCTGGAATTGACTCTAGCTTTGGATGATGCGTGTTTGTACATTTTTATATTGGATCTTTTAAATACCTAGTGGAGTTTCAGTCACAAAATGTTTAGTGATTCTAAGTTCAGATTCAAAGGACAGTGATTTGCCTTGAGGGAGGGGAAGTATTACTTCAGTTGTACCCCAACCATGGATACCTGCAAGCTGGGCACAAAGGAGCTAAGACTGAAAGAATGTGATAGGCAAGGGAATTGAATAACATGAGGTGAAGATGGAATAGAGTGGTGGATTTTAAAATGGTCAGGACAAATGGGACTTTAAATGCAAAGGTGGATAAGAAACGATTGAGAGTGATACTCTCCTGGAGCAAAGGAATCTGAATTTAGCATAATGACCTTCCTGATTTTGAAGAACTGGGAGTCCCTTAAGATAGAATCGCAATATCATCAGCATCTTTAGATGCATCAGGATCTTTAGCTCCTGTTAGACTGTCACAGGTCTTGTGACATAAGCCTCATAAGGCAAATGAACCATGTGAGATTTTAATAACTTTACAGCAGGGGTGGGCAAAATGCGGCCCAGGGGCCGGATGTGGCCCGCCAGGCCATTCTGTCTGGCTCGTGGGGCCCCTAAAAAATTTAGAAAATTAATATTAATCTTCCCTGGGCTGCCTGTCATGCAGCCCTTGATGGCTTGCTGAAACTCAGTAAGCGGCCCTTTGCCCAAAATAATTGCCCGCCCCTGCTTTACAGGGACTAGTCGATAATGTCCAGGATGGGGAGAATATCGGAAGTTCTGGTAAGATGGGTAAAAGATAAGATAGCAATGAGCTTAAGGGATCAAGATTTTAAAGATAAGACAGCTGTCCCTGGAGGCTGGAAAGTATGTATGCAATAAGAATCTGAGAATAAGGTGTGGACATGGTTCAAGGGAAATGACTGTTTAGCCGCATTACGTGGCTGTTCCCCAGCCCACTGCTAACAAAAGCTGTCCCACTGTTGTCCTCCTCAGACAGACTAATACTGACAACCTATCACTCCCAATTTTCTCTTCCTCAGCTAAACAGAACCACCCTCTACTCAGAAAGGCACAGATCCTCCCTCCTTCACCAAGGCAGACATAATTTGGCCTTGGCTGGAGTACAGTTTTTAAGACTGGGTGACTGTAGACTTGTGTGTAGGGTCTTTTCACAACCATCAGTAGGGATTTATTCATCATTCATTCATAGTTTTTAGTTCTCAGAGTTTTGAAAACAGAGACTGTAATTAAAGTAGAGATTCTTGGGCAGCCATAAGCAGTTCCTCTCTATAGGCTGTCAATTCAGAAACCTCCTGCCAACACCACTCTAAGGGAGGGTGCCAGGCTGGACTTCACCTCATTGTTAACTTGAGATGCAAGTAAAACGTTGCCACTAACTTGCATCTCTGCATAAAAACCTCTAACTTACCTTAAGTGGCCTTGTAAATTTGAAGTGTCTATATCCTTAAAGAGGTGTGAATTGAAATGTGAATGCTACTGATATTTGAACTGCTAATAAAATGGGGAGCAAGCAATGCTGGGAAGCTTTGTATCTCCTCCCCAAATTCTAAGGCAGGAGTGTCAAAGATGGCCTATGGGTTGGATATGGCCTGTAAAGCCATGCCATCCAAATTGTGGGGCTCTTGGAGGGGCCAGAATCTGAGTTTGGAGCCTGCTGTTGAATTCTGGATACAGTGCCATGCTAGGGACTTGTTTCAGCAGCAGTGGGGCAAGCAACAGCTTGTTAAACCTTGTCTTTCCCTCAGCTGACGCAGTAGTTTGGGCACCTGTGATGGTTAATACTGTTGCTGCCCAAGGAGGGTCTGGATCCAGCCTACGAGGCTTTTCTTGGCTCCAGCCAAGTTTCATGCCCCTGCTTATAAGGGTATTTATGTTTATCCACTTCTGCCTCGTGATTAGAAGCTATCTTGCACATTACAAATATCCCACTTTGGTACATGTGACAAGCACTTTACCTTTGCATGCATTACACTTACTTTTGGCAGCTAGACTGGTACTATTCATTGTTTCAATGTTAACTTTGAAAAGCAGCAAGATTGCTGGTATTGTTCATTTTGTCCAGTATAAAGGTTAACTCAACTAGACTTGACAGTGATGATGACTGCTGATACACTGTTAAAACTTAAAGCATCTCTACTGGTAGAATTTATCCTTAATAATGCCTCTTTCTTTTGTCCCTCCCTTTGTTTCTGAGTCTTTTGACTCCACTTCAGTAAGGGGGGCAACACGGTTTCATTCTAGAAACACCAGCACAAGATGTGTATATGTGGAGAAGGCTTTACTTTGTACCCCTTCAACTCCCATTTTCTGCTGCAAACCCAGCAAAGAAGCTGCCTTGGCACAGAAAGTTTACTTTCAGGCTGTGAACATACCATGTAGAGGTGCACCGATATATGGGTCCGATATCGGATCAACACCAATATAAAGAAAATTGATCATATCAGGAATCGGCCTGATGTGGCTCATAATTCGGCTGATAAATGCCCATGCATACGCACAGATACAGCACAGCACAGCGCATAGGCAGTGAGGAGCACAGCCCGGCAGCTTGGAGAGCTGTGTGCAGCTAGCATGTCTGGTGTGGTGGAAAGAGAGGGGGAGGGAAGGGGCATGGGGGGCAGATTAAGGCCTCTTCTGTGAGGGAGGAGTGGAGCTGGGGCAGGGGCTGGGGCATGCACTGTCCAGCTGGGTCAAAACAGGTGTGGGACAGA